TACAAGCAGACTGTGCCCCAGACTGTGCCCTCTACAAGCAGACTGTGTCCACTACAAGCAGACTGTGCCCACTACAAGCAGACTGTGCCCCAGACTGTGCCCTCTACAAGCAGACTGTGTCCACTACAAGCAGACTGTGCCCCAGACTGTGCCCACTACAAGCAGACTGTGCCCACTACAAGCAGACTGTGTCCACTACAAGCAGACTGTGCCCCAGACTGTGCCCTCTACAAGCAGACTGTGCCCCAGACTGTGCCCACTACAAGCAGACTGTGCTCAGCAAAGCCACATGTCACAAGTGTAGAATTTCTTCACTGTACAACTGACAGCCTGAAAAATGGCGAGTGTATTCCCGGTACTTGTGCTGGAGACACTGGCAGGGGCTGTTACCTTAATCCCACCCGTCAGTTTGATTGCCGCCTGCCTCAAGAGTTCGATGGCGTCGTCCACACCAAACTCTTCTTTGTCTGGCAGAGTGGACACAAGGAATCCGCGCGTTCCCGCCTCCACAAACTCCTCGGGGCCGGCGTACGTGTCTGTGTAGCTCTCCTGTACATCGCTGAACCTACGCTTACGGTCTACATACCCCCTCGACATTCTCACAGCTTCTGGAGAAAAAAAGATGACAACATTGTACATACTGTCACTAACTTTTTCTTCAAAACATCAATAACAAGTCATGTTTGTTTAGTAGAGGTTTTACTGTGTCAACAAGAGGGAATAAAATTGAAGAAACAAAGTTGAAAAGGAAGGCATGAAAAGAAAATCATCTCAAGTCTTCCTCCATAGTTGAAAGACTGATGACCTGTTGCGTCTATCATCGTAATCACAACATGCTATTTTCCCTACAAAAAAGAGAAAAAATGTTTTTTTTAAATTTAGTTCCAAATTCCAGTAGCCTACTTACATGCTGCAGAAACATAATAATGATCTCAAAATGGCAGGGCACTTCAATAATAAACAGACAGAGCCTAAGAGAAGGCTCTTACATGATGATGGAAGAATGGAAAAATCTGTCTACAATTCATGAAATAATTTTTATCAAAGCAGAGACCAGGACAGACAGTAGTCTGTTGTGAGAAATGAGGTGCCAATGGACAAATACGACAAAGGAAGCAAGAAGACATATATGGAAAAACAACCATAAAGATTTATACAACAAAAAAAACTTTTACAAATTTTAATATTCTTTGTGAGTCTCAGTCTCTATGATAATAGATAGTTCAAAACAAAATCACCGTTAACAAGGTTTTTCTTTAAAAGCTGGGAGAACAAGCTAGATGAGAGCTTGACAACCTCGATGATATTCCTCACCAATGGGCCATTGGACAATTCCCATGTGTGGTGGGGGTGTCAGGAGACAGAGAGGTATATTGTTAATGCCTTGATTGACCTATGAAGGCGGGCTGTAGAAAAAAGTCAGCCTCTTAAAGGTGGCAAAATGAGGTACTGGTTAGCCCTATAAAAAGGTTGACAACAACACTGAGCTAAAAGAATACATCAAGTGATTTAGGCTACCAACACTTGAACACAGGGGTTTTCACTAGGGCCAGACATAGAGCCTGCATTTACCACACATAAGTTTTTTCCTTCAGAAGCTCACTAACGAATGTTTTAAACACAAAAATCCATAAAAAATCTAAGTTTTAGTTAGACAATTAAGAGAAAAACTATTGTTCCTAATAAAAGAGAGTTCTTAGCTAACTAGTCTTAGTGCTACAGTAATATGCCTAATAATTGCCAAACGAAGTGACTTTTCGAACTCTGAGTCGATAAAAACAAAAATTATATTGAATCAAACCCAGCATGACGTCACTTCCGAGCCAACGAAGAAGGGGCCGATTAGGCAGAGTATAGATCGATGAATTTACACAACCAAATACTACAGCCAGATTTCACAACATAAATAGGTGGCAATTACACCACACTTTTACTAGATCTCCCCTTATTCTGAAATATTTCCAGTATTTACGGAATTTTCAAAGATTATAATCATAATTAAAAAAATAAAACACTTTCCCATCATGTGGGTCTGAAGAGGTTTTTCCCTATTCCGTCAACTGGGTTTTTAAAATGGGAGTGTATACAGACCCGGTAACCGGGAACAAAGTCACAAAGTATACAGGCCCGGTAGGGGAACTCTTTTGTGATTTCGAAGAGTTTCAGCGCCCTCTTGGCTCAGGGTAGACCTAGGTTCTTCTAGATCTATGGTCTAGATCTAGATCTAGGCAGACATAAATCTTGGATCTAGTTTCGCGGCTAGCCTAGATCTAGATCTAAATGAAGATTGCGGATGTTTTTTCGATGAACGATCGTTTTTCCTCCGTTTTGGAGTTGGAGGAATCACGATTTGAAGAAAAGAACAATGTCATAATTTCAATCGAGCAGTCACCCTCTCTATTTCTCTGCCCCCCCCCCCCCCCCTCTCTCTCTCTCTCTGTGTATCGCTCGCCTTCTCTTTTTCTTTGTTTGTCTCTGTATTTCTTTGTCCCCACCTATTTCCCACTCTATCTTTCTCTCGTTCCCTCCTGCCAACTGGGGCATGTCACATTTTGCTAGCACCTCTCTCTCTCTCTCTCTGTGTCTATCTCTCTCTCTCTGTCTCTCTCTCTCTCTCTCACACACACACACACACACACACACACACACACACACACACACACACACACACACTATAGATTTCTACCGGGTCTGGGCGCTGAAACTTCTCGAAATTCGAAATCACAAAAGAGTTCCCCTACCGGGTCTGTATACTTCGTGACTTTGTTCCCGGTTACCGGGTCTGTATACACTTCGTTTTAAATAAGCCCAGCACATATATACAAAGCAAAAAAAATTGAAATCTACGGAAGGGATTTGTATGAAATCTTCGGTGAATGTGCATATTCTGAATGTAGAATTTATATACCGCAGGGCAAAAAAATGGGGTCACAGTCAAATGTTGAGGGCGTCATTTTGAGCTGTTTTTAGAAAAAGGTTTTTTAAAAATATTACAGTGCAGCATGATGTAAATATTATGGTGATGTTGCTTCATTTTTTGGCATCAAACTCACAACAGTAATAAAAAGCATGCATGTAATTGACCAAACAGAGTTCTTTGATGTAGTGATAAAAGGCAAAATACTTTTTATAATTTCTGTGGGGGTAGTAGTAGTTTACAAGCAGTTGATCGAAATGATCCACTCCCCCCATGTATTGATTCCAATGTTTCAGCCATTACTGGCTTTTCAACAGTACGACATCCACCACCAGCTGTCTTGCACCTAACCCTTTTGTCAATAGTATTGTTAGTGTGGATGGTACTAAGTATTTTACACGTTTTGAATCAGGTAGTACAGACTTGATTTCCTGCATGGCTGAATCAAAAAATCTTGTCCTTTTTTCATTTTCAGGTAGTTTTTCTTGAATGAAGTAGGGAAATGTGTCCTGCCTTCCTGCTCTGCTCCTACTGCTCTGTTCCCACTGCTCTGCTCCCACTGCTCTGCTCCCACTGCTCTGTTCCCACTGCTCTGCTCCTACTGCTCTGTTCCCACTGCTCTGTTCCCACTGCTCTGTTCCCACTGCTCTGTTCCCACTGCTCTGTTCCTACTGCACTGTTCCTACTGCACTGTTCCCACTGCTCTGTTCCCACTGCTCTGTTCCCACTGCTCTGCTCCTACTGCTCTGTTCCTACTGCTCTGTTCCTACTGCACTGTTCCCACTGCTCTGTTCCCACTGCTCTGTTCCCACTGCTCTGTTCCTACTGCTCTGCTCCTACTGCTCTGTTCCTACTGCTCTGTTCCCACTGCTCTGTTCCCACTGCTCTGTTCCCACTGCTCTGTTCCTACTGCTCTGTTCCTACTGCTCTGTTCCTACTGCTCTGTTCCTACTGCTCTGTTCCTACTGCTCTGTTCCTACTGCTCTGTTCCTACTGCTCTGTTCCTACTGCTCTGTTCCTACTGCTCTGTTCCTACTGCTCTGTTCCTACTGCTCTGTTCCTACTGCTCTGTTCATCTTTCTTCCCAAAATTTGAAAAGATGAGGAGAGGTGTAAAACTTCTCAGTTACAAGCACCTGGTTTGTATCACAGTTACAAGCACCTGGTTTGTATCAGTTACCAGCACCTGGTTTGTATCAGTTACAAGCACCTGGTTTGTATCAGTTACAAGCACCTGGTTTGTATCAGTCACAAGCACCTGGTTTGTATCAGTCACAAGCACCTGGTTTGTATCAGTTACAAGCACCTGGTTTGTATCAGTTACAAGCACCTGGTTTGTATCAGTTACAAGCACCTGGTTTGTATCAGTTACAAGCACCTGGTTTGTATCAGTTACAAGCACCTGATCGGACTCAAGTCTGACTCTAGTACTGTATTAGGCGATTTTGTAGTTTCGTTCGTTAAAGTCAAGAGATTGGGGATTTCAGGGGCTTGCCCCCCTGACCTAATAAAAAATGGAGGTGGGGGGGGTTCAGGGGGGCCCCCTGAATTTTTTCCTAATGTGATGTTTTAAAGTTCGCATGCGTTTAAAGTTAGGTTGCATCCCTGCCCTTCGTGCAGCCTATTTCAAAGTGTATTTGGTCATTAAGACTTCTGGATTTCTTCTCTGGATGTAAACAAATGGGTCGTGGACTTTAACGAACGGAACTACCAAGATCACCCTGTATTGTACTAGATCTATTATGGCCACCTCTATTCTCACCCGGGGTGAGAATAGTGCAGGCGAGTCTTTTGGCTATTCTCACCCGGTGCGCGTTCACCGTTATAGCCTAGATCTAGGCCAACAAATTTTGCGTTCACCCTAAACCACAGAATTCTACACTGTGATAACAGAAAAATTGTAGAATTCTGTGCTGTGAACAAACGTTCCATTACAACTGTACTTGTAGCCTACTAAAAGCCTACAATTTTGTCTGTGGGCAGTGGAGAGAGAGAGTGAGAGAGAGAAAGAGAGAGAACAAAACAAAATGGCGACCTGCGTAGTTCGGCTCGATTCGAAAAGTTAAATAGCCGTAGCATCTTTGTAGACAACCAAATTAATTTACTTTTGTGTTTTAACATCATTTTTTAACTTTGTTTTGGTCAATTTGATCGTCCACACCGATAGACAGTATTCAGAAAGAGACAGAGAGAGAGAGAAGAGGGGAGGAGTAGATCTTGCGAGAACTTCCGGGCGGGTGAGAATAGCCACTTTCATCTATTATATCTATATCTAGATCTAGATTAGATCTAGATTTTTAGAGATAGTAATGTAGCAGAGTTCAATTTATTTGAACAACATACTTTGAAATGGAAGATCATGTGTTTGTGTGTGTGTGTAGTGTAGTACCTGTGTGTGTGTGTGGAGGAAGGAGTATAGATCTAGCACGGGAGCTATTCAGAACGCGGCGTTGCAAATAGCCCTTGACCTTGCCATTCTATTATTACACAACATGAATATATTGAATAGCCCTCTGTCTCGCTGCAAATAAATCTAGATTCTAGATCTAGATCTAGATCTAGATATATATATATATATATATAGATCTAGATCTAGAATCTAGATTCTAGATGTATGTAGATCTAGATCTAGAATTTATCTAGATCTAGAATCTATATATTAGATCTAAATCTAGAATTAGATCTAGAATTCTAGAAACTAGATTCTAGAATCTAGTAGATCTATATCTAAATCTATATCTAGATCTAGATCTAGATCTATCTATATATAGAAACATCGCACGAGGAGCAACAAATACTTTGATTCTTTTACCTTGGCTCAAAGTAGAACTAAAATTAGAGATCTCTAGATCTGGATCAAAAACTGTTATTAACTGAGAAAATCCAAATCGTATTGTGAGGTACTGATTGTCAACAGACTGTAGAGTGGAGTGTAGAGTGAAGTCCCCTTTTCAACGCGTTACCGGTGTACCGGTGAATGCTGAAAATCCCACCCTTCGCCTTCAGTCAAAGTACACGCACTTTCAGCTAATGTTCGGTCACTTTTGTTGTTCATGTATTGCATGGTAAAGAGATATGGTACCACTAAATTATAATATAACGAACAATTGTAAAAGCTGTACACATATGTCATTCAGCAAACGGGTTATCCTAAAAGAAACGTTAAATGGGTAGGATAAAAAATTTAGCCTACAAGGTTTCATGTGTGACCGAAACATCCAAGGGCAGGTCAGTGGCAGATTTGAGAGCTAGAAAACGGACAGAGTAGCTTCCCTTGGTTTAGGTTTGTTCATCCATCGCCTGTCGGTCGTTCTCTCCATCGTTTCTCTTCTCGACTGTTGAGTCTTCAGCCTGCACTGGATTTGTAGGTGAACTTGACCAAATATTTACTTTATTTTATTACGATTTAAATTTGGCTGCTCTTATTGGCCCACATGGGCAAATAAGCTGGGGCTTATTGGCCCACATGGACCATTTAACTCACTTGCGACTGGGCCCTTTCACCAGCCACAAGCGTTGAAGACTGGCGTTTTGGGGGGTATTTCAATAAATCACCACAACTCTCAGAATTACCGTATTGTAATCATGTTTTGACACAGTAAAGTAACATTCAAGCTTAATCTAATACAAAAAAACTAAAGTTGTCTAAGTCTAATACTTTAATTTGTATGATTTTTTAAAAATTGGCATGAATTTGATTTTCGAAAAATTTCCAGAGACGTGACAAGTAGAATGAAATTCACTGCAACAACAAAAATAAAAGTTCAAAGTGTTCTGGTTTGATTTGTATACATGTGCAAGTGTTTGGTGAAAATATAAAAGCTGGTCTGTGCATTGATTCAGACCCAT